AAATTTCATATTTCATAAGAAAGGCATCTAATTAATTTATAGGTACCTTTCTTATGAAATTTTATCAGAAGTGTATATAAAATATATGCATTTTATGTACATTTATTATATTGTACTGTGTTATTTGTATTTCCATTCATTTTATTATTAATTTTGATATTTCATTCATGGAAAAATGTCATAACTGAAATTAATATAAAAATAAGATCATATAAAAAGTTTAGTAGTAAAGATGATACTGATACTTATAGGTACCCTTCTCAGTTGAAATTGAAAAATCAAATTAACTTCTCCACACGTGTTTCGCAAAAGAAAAGGCCTTAACAGCAGAGAACACTGCTTAACTCAAATAACGCAACTTAATTTTATTCTGGTTGGTCTTCCGTACTTTATAATTACAGCCTGATTATAAACACAAAATTACATTTCTTAATTACTGCGGATTTTCTGATTAGTCAAAATGATACAATTTACAACGCGCTAAAAAAGATCTATCTTCATAAAGAGACTTAAGAAAACCTGATGCGCTTTTTAATTAATTTTATAATATTTTAAAAATTAAATGTAAAAATCTGTTATAATTAAAAATAACAAATAATTGTATTAAAAAATTCATTTTTTATCGAAAAAAATTTTTGCTTTCAGAAAATATTGCCCATATTCATAAAAACAACTAAAAGCAAATAAAAGCATTTGAAATTAAATGATAGCTTTGTTTTATTGAGTTTTGTATGTTACAATTTTGAGTTGATTTTCAGGTAGGTGGGCGTCCAATTAAAAAAAACCCAAAAAAACATGATTTGCATTCCTCAAAGCCTTGTGCTTTTAATTATTGTAATTACTAAAGTGGACTCGATCGAATTTCTAGCGTTTTCATAAAATTAGTTATGGGGGTAAATATAAAAAAATATTTCTGTCATGACTTTAATAATAAAAAACATATTCATAAATTTCGATCATCCTGATAGTTTGAAATTTCATAACATCTGACAATTATTTTTATTTTTGAAAGATTTTCCAAATTAATGTGTGTCATACCAAAAAAACGTGCTAAAAATTGTCTGTTATTTAATAGTTCTGCCGATACAAAGATAAACAAGGTTTTTTTAATCAAAATTTAGAATGTTCTAAAAAGAAGGAAAATTTAAAAAAAAAAATAATTAAAAAAATTTTGGTCTTTCCTCTTAATAATAACATAAGCATTTGGACGATAAAATTTCGTTTTCGGCAAGGTTGGCGTCTTTTTCATCAAGCTATGCTCTTTTTTTTTTTTTTTTTTTAGCGATTTCGTGGAGGTACCTAATATTAACAAATATGTTATTAGAAACAGTGATACAAACATATACAAATGTGAGTGTTACACCGTGACTGCTGGAAACTTCCCCTCCAAAAAGGCATACCTGCTCCTATTTATAGCTGTTATAGCACATTATAGCTGTTATGAAATATTTTATGGTAATTTACGGTAAATGTTGCATGTGCTCTAACAGCTATAAATAAGCATGTACTGCATTTATATATATATATATATATATATATATATATATATATATATATATATATATAAATTTCAAGGTTTGGATCAATCCATGCTATGGTTTTCAGGCACTTTATAAAGGTGACGCACGCTAGGATTTTCCTCCAGACAGATAAGATCAGGAAGTCTACTTTTGACAAAATCAACCGAGGTGAGATTCGAGCCCGGGTCTCATGGTCGATAGCTGAAAGCCACAAGTCACGTGACCGAGAGTTTGAGTTTGCTGGCCCTGTTCAGATTGTTGATCACGCTGATAACCCGCCATCTCCCGGAAACTGTTGAAAAGGCCTGCTCAGCATAGTTGCAGTATAAACCACATGTGGTCCCTAGGTTTGACCAAATATGCCTGAGAAAGCGTCTGAAATAAAATCAGCAAGCTGCTCTAATATACGGGTATCCTCGAATACGAATGACCAGCTATTATATACACTTATATATATATATACATATATATATATATATATATATATATATATGTGTGTGTGTGTGTGTGTGTGTGTGTGTATTCTTTCACGCTCAATAACATCCTGCGTCTTTGTTGCCTTGCTGGTGGTAAAATGATTATAAAACCAAATGCAATTTCTGCAAATGAATAAACAATCAAATTGATGTTTGATGTTTTTTTTTTTTTTTTAAACTAAAAATTTTGAGGGCAACACGTGTCAGCGTATTGAAGTCTTCACAATATTCATTATTTTTTAAATTGTTGCTAACATATTGTTTCTCGAAATTTAAAATTCTATGTTTCCTTCAATTTCGAAAACCAATCGATGACAATTAAAAAAAAGCTGATTTGTTTGAAAAAAAACTTTTGAAAAAAACGTATTTAAAAATTAATTTCATTTCATGGTAAACAATAATTTTAAGAAAATCTATTTTTCGCCTTTTTTTAAAAAAGCGAAAATTTCTTTTCTAACTATTTCTTTCTCTTGAGCATGCAACATATAAATGGCCATGCGTCAAATTTCTTTCTGGAGCTAGATTCCAACTTTTTTGAAGCGTTTGGCTTTTTGTGATTTGTTTATAGTTCTTGCAAACACACAAAACAGCCTGGAAACTGGATTCTTGTATATAAAAAAAAACTTTGAAAAAAGATATGCAAAAAACAATATTGCATTTGTTATAAATAAATATATTTGTAAATTTATAAATAAATAAAAAAATCTTTTTTTCTTTAAATTTTTTGAAGTAGTTGAAGTATTTCATACGTTAATCAATAAAACTTTTTAATTTTTCCAAAATATTAATGAAATCTTATTGTACTGAGCCAGGTATTCTAGTAAAACCAACTGTTTTGTACTCCATTACCTGCTTTACTTTTTTTCTACCCCAAATTTGGTTTCGATCAGTCAATGTATGGCTATTTTAGAGCGTATGACGGACAGACGGTCTAACGGAAGTGACAGATAGATAAATAGATAGATAGACATTTTAGATAGATAGATAGATAGAAGTTGTTGAGACTTTAATTCTTCTAATACTACCCAATGTCAAACTTTTAAACTAAGTTTTAGTCACTCAATAATTGGAAAGGCGAATCTTGTGAAAAACCAATAAAAACCACGAGAAACAACTGTGCTGACATTCCCATTGAAAATTTATAGAATTTTAAATTATTGATTTTTTTTTCTTCCATTTTCGACTACAGGCAACACATTTTCAAGATTTCAACTATTGTTTTCCTATCGGAAAAGCAACACATTTTTTTAAATGAAAGTCACCATTAAAAATGAATGAGTCATAGTGTTATTTTTTATAAGTGATAGTGTTATTATTATGAGTGATAGTGTTATTTTTATAAGTGATCGTGTTATTTTTATAAGTGATCGTTTTATTATTATGAGTGATAGGGTTTTTAATCCATCAATTTCTGTCAGATCTTTTTTTTCTTTTAATGTTGGGCAGTCGATTCTGATAAAGTCAGTGGTAATCCTGCAGATGAATTTTGAAAGTTCTTTTTTATTATTTACGATACTGACAGTAAGACTATTAATAAAATAATGAGGCTTTGAAAGCTGAATTTGATTAATTCTAGAAGAAAAAAAAAGTCATTCTTTTTTCAGTATTTGAAAGAGAATGAATTTACATAGGGATCACTTATCAGCAACTGGAAAAAAAAACTTTGAGCTTAAGAAAGTAAACGGCTCAGTTAATGATTTTTTCTTTAACGTTACAAGAGTTTTAGCTGAAACCATTGAGCCTGTAACATTTTAAACCTGAATTGACGAGGCTTTTTACTGTAATATTAGAGCTTGTATTTTTTGTTATCATTTTGGCTTGTATTTTTAAGCATATCACCCCAATCAAATTCATTCTATGCTATTAGCACGCGTATTAAACGATCCTATGAAAATAAGAAAAAAAGAGGGTACAAAGAAGGATATAATGTCAATCGATATCTTCTGATGTCGATTGACATTATATTTAAATTTTCCCTGAAGACTGTAGTTATCAGGGAAGCAATTAAGAGGAAGGGAGTTCCACTGTCGGTAATGCGAGAGAAGAAGCTGTTAGAGTAGAAGAGGCGGTTAGATTTAACTGTTTCGACAGTAAAAGTGGGGACCGAAAATATAACCTAGTAGCACGCTTAAATTCATGCAGTCGGGGCACTTGTGAAAATAGCTCGTCAGAGCAGATGCCATGAAAATCTTTTTTGAAAAGACAGGGGAAGTCACATCACGTCTGTGAGAAATTTTGACTGAGGAGACGCCAGGTCAGGACCTATCAAATTGCATATCCGTCTTTGAATTTTTAAAGAACCTGGAGATTTTTTCTTTTCTTCACACCATATGGCAACAGTATTCAATGCAAGGACGAATGGTAAATTTGAAGGATGGACTTAGACGCGAAAAACCTTCTGGCGCGACACAGAGAACTGACTTTCCTTGCGGTAGGTGTAGCTATTGATTCAATGTAGTAGTTCCACCTCTAGCCAGTGGAAAATGTTACAGTTTTCTTGGGTACTTATATGTGCTAGTGAGCCAACCAAATTGAGCTGACTCATTTTATAGTCCACCAAGAGAAAGGTTAACCTTTCTTCTTCAAAATATTCAATCCGATGTGTATAAAGGCAGCCATTTTGTTTTTTCTCCCAAAATATCTTTACCGCCAACCTCTGATATCGAAGACTTATAGAATTACAGAACAGCTGCTACTAGTGATATTGGCGTTGTTCCATTGAACACATTATGTACTGCATTGATTCTATATTCAAAGACTACGGCGAACATGTCCAAAAGAAAACGTGAGATTATGAAGGCGCAGCTGAATGCTCTCATAGAGTTGAGCATCAGCCATTGACAGGAAGCAGGGAGGTTTTCTATTTGGGTTTTCATCTTTCGTTTTCATTAAAATTTAGAAGCCATTTTCAACCCCAGTCAGCCACAGATTTGAGGTCCTTTTCGAGAGCAACGGCCTGGTTTCTTTCATTTGAGCTTGTATTTCTGTGATTTTGCTCCACGAGGGCTTTGTTTCAGACACATTTTATTGATTATTTCCTTCCTTCTTTTCTTCTTCTTCTTTTCTTTCTTCTTCTTTTCGAATTTTTTTTTTTTCTTTTCATCCTTTTCTTTTTTTTTTTTTCTTTTCTTTATCAACCGCTTTCTTTTCTTTCTTTTTTCTTTCTTTCTTTTTTCTTTTCTTTTCTTTCTTCTTTTTCTTTTCTTGTTTTGACTTTTTTCTTTCCTCAATCTTTGTTTCAGACACATTTTTATTGATTATTTCTCCTTCCTTCTTCTTCTTTTCTTCTTCTTCTTCTTCTTCTTTCTTCTTTCTTTCAACCTATTTTCTTTTCTTTTCTTTTCATCCTTTCCTTTCTTTTTTTTTTTTTTTAGTTACTTTTCATATATATTCACTTGTACGGTCTGTTTCATCTTTTTTCTTTTTCTTTTCTTTTTTTTTTTCTTTCTTTTCTTTTCTTTTTCTTTCTTGTTTTGATTTTTTCTCCAATTCCTCAACTTTGTTTCAGACACATTTTTTATTGATTATTTCTCCTTCCTTTTTTTCTTCTTCTTCTTCTTCTTCTTCTTCTTCTTCTTCTTCTTCAACCTACTTTCTTTCTTTCTTTTCATCCTTTTCTTTCTTTTTTTTTTTTTTTTTAGTTACTTTCCATATATATATTCACTTGTCTGGTCTGTTTCATCTTTCTTTCTTTTCTTTCTTTCTTTTCTTTTTTCTTTTTTTTCTTTCTTTGTTTTGACTTTTCTCCAATTCTCAATCTCTTTGTTTCAGACACATTTTTATTGATTATTTCTCCTTCCCTTCTTTTCTTCTTCTTCTTCTTCTTCTTCTTCTTCTTCTTTCTTCTTTCTTCTTTCTTTCATTTCCATTTTCTTTTCTTCTTTTCATCCTTTCTTTTCTTTTTTTTTCTTCTTTTTTAGTTACTTTCCATATATATATTCACTTGTACGGTCTGTTTTTTCTTTCTTTCTTTCTTTTCTTTCTTTCTTTCTTTCTTTCTTTTCTTTTTTCTTTTCTTTTCTTTTCTTGTTTTGACTTTTTTCCAATTCCTCAATCTCTTGTTTTCAGACACATTTTTATTGATTTTTTCTTCCCTTCCTTCTTCTTTTCTTCTTCTTCTTCTTCTTCTTCTATCAACCCATTTTCTTTCTTTTCTTTTCATCCTTTCTTTTTTTTTTTTTTTTTTCTTTTTAGTTACTTTCCATATATATATTCTTTTGTATGGTCTGTTTCATCTTTTTTTTTTCTTTCTTTCTTTCTTCCTTTCTTTTTTTTCTTTTCTTTTTTTTCTTTCTTTCTTTTCTTTTTTCTTTTTTCTTTCTTTTCTTTTTCTTGTTTTGACTTTTTCTCTCCAATTTCAATCTCTCTTGTTTCAGACACATTTTTTATTGATTATTTCTCCCTTCCTTCTTCTTCTTCTTCTTCTTTCTTTTCTTCTTCTTCTTCTTTATCAACCATTTTTCTTTCTTTTAATTTTCATCCTTTTTTTTTTTTTCTTCTTTTTTTTTACTTTCCATATATATTCACTTTTGTACGGTCTGTTTTCATCTTTCTTTTTTCTTTTCTTTCTTTTCTTTTCTTTCTTTCTTTTGTTTTCTTTTCTTTCTTGTTTTGACTTTTTCTCCAATTCTCAATCTCTTTGTTTCAGACACATTTTATTGATTATTTCTCCCTTCCCTTCTTCTTCTTCTTCTTCTTCTTCTTCTTCTTCTTCTTCTTCTTTCTTCTTCTTCTTCTATCAACCTACTTTTCTTTCTTTTTTTCATCCTTTCTTTTTTTTTTTTTTTTTTTAGTTTTTCCATATATATATTCACTTGTACGGTCTGTTTCATCTTTCTTTCTTTCTTTTTTCTTCCTTCCTTTCTTTCTTTCTTTCTTTTTCTTTTTCTTTCTTTCTTTTCTTTCTTTCTTTCTTTCTTTCTTTCTTGTTTTGACTTTTCTCTCCAATTCCTCAATCTTTGTTTCAGACACATTTTTATTGATTATTTCTTCCCTTCCTTCTTCTTCTTCTTCTTCTTCTTCTTCTTCTTCTTCTATCAACCTACTTTTTCTTTCTTTTATTTTTCATCCTTTTCTTTTTTTTTTTTTTCTTTTCTTTAGTTACTTTTCCATATATATATTAACTTGTACGGTCTCAGGCCATTTTTCTTTCTTTTTTCTTTTTTTTTTCTTTTTTCTTTTTCTTTTCTTGTTTTGACTTTTTCTCCAATTCCTCAATCTCTTGTTTCATTTTTATTGATTATTTTCCTTCCCTTCTTCTTCTTCTTCTTCTTCTTCTTCTTCTTCTTCTTCAACCCAGATTTTCTTTCTTTCTTTCATCTTTTCTTTTTCTGTTTTTTTTTTCTTTTCTTTTAGTTACTTTCCATATATATATTCACTTGTACGGTCTGTTTCATCTTTCTTTCTTTCTTTCTTTTCTTTCTTTCTTTCTTTCTTTTCTTTCTTTTCTTTTTTTCTTTCTTTCTTTTTTCTTGTTTTCTTTTCTCTCCAATTCTCAATTGTTTGTTTCAGACACATTTTTATTGATTATTTCTCCTTCCCTTCTTCTTCTTCTTCTTCTTCTTCTTCTTCTTCTTTATCAACCTACTTTCTTTTTTCATCCTTTCTTTTTTTTCTTTTCTTTAGTTACTTTCCATATATATATTCACTTGTATTTGGTCTGTTTCATCTTTCTTTCTTTCTTTCTTTTCTTTCTTTCTTTTTTTTCTTTCTTGTTTTGACTTTTTCTCCAATTCCTCAATCTCTTGTTTCAGACACATTTTATTGATTATTTCTCCCTTCCCTTCTTTCTTTCTTCTTCTTCTTTTCTTCTTCTTCTTCTTCTTCTTCTTCTATCAACCCTTTTTTTCTTTTCTTTCTTTCATCCTTTTTTTTTTTTTTTTTCTTTTCTTTAGTTACTTTCCATATATATATTCACTTGTACGGTCTGTTTCATCTTTCTTTTTTTTCTTTCTTTTCTTTCTTTTTTTTTTTTCTTTTTTTTTCTTTCTTGTTTTGACTTTTTTCTCCAATTCCTCAACTTTGTTTCAGACACACATTTTTATTGATTATTTCTCCTTCCCTTCTTCTTCTTCTTCTTCTTCTTCTTCTTCTTCTTCTTCTTCTTCTATCAACCTTTTTCTTTCTTTTTTTTTTCATCCTTTCTTTCTTTTTTTTTTTTTTCTTTAGTTACTTTCCATATATATATTCACTTGTACGGTCTGTTTCATCTTTCTTTTCTTTTTTTCTTTTTTTCTTTCTTTCTTTTTTTTTCTTGTTTTGACTTTTTTCTCCAATTTCTCAATCTCTTGTTTCAGACACATTTTTATTGATTATTTCTCCCTTCCTTCTTCTTCTTTTCTTCTTCTTCTTCTTCTTCTTCTTCTTCTTCTATCTTTTCCACTTTTTCTTTCTTTCTTTTCATCCTTTCTTTCTTTTTTTCTTTTTCTTTAGTTTTTTCCATATATATATTCACTTGTACGGTCTGTTTCATCTTTTTTTCTTTTCTTTCTTTTCTTTCTTTTCTTTTCTTTCTTTCTTTTTTCTTTCTTGTTTTGACTTTTCTCTCCAATTCCTCAATCTCTTGTTTCAGACACATTTTTATTGATTATTTCTCCCTTCCCTTCTTCTTCTTCTTCTTCTTCTTCTTCTTCTTCTTCTTCTTCTTCTTCTATCAACCTACTTTCTTTCTTTCTTTCATCCTTTCTTTCTTTTTTCTTTTCTTTAGTTACTTTCCATATATATATTCACTTGTACGGTCTGTTTCATCTTTCTTTCTTTCTTTCTTTCTTTCTTTCTTTCTTTCTTTCTTGTTTTGACTTTTCTCTCCAATTCCTCAATCTCTTGTTTCAGACACATTTTTATTGATTATTTTCCTTTTCTTCTTCTTCTTCTTTCCATTCTTTCTTTCTTCTTCTTCTTTTTCTTCTATCAATTTACTTTTCTTTCTTTTCTTTTCCTTCCTTTTCGTTTTTTTTTCTTTTCTTTTTAGTTCTTTTCATATATATATTCACTTTACGGTCTGTTTTTCTTTTTCTTTTCTTTCTTTTTCTTTTTTCTTTCTTTCTTTTCTTTTTCTTTTTCTTTTCTTTTTTCTTTCTTGTTTTGACTTTTTTCCAATTCCTCAATCTTTTGTTTCAGACACATTTTTATTGATTATTTTCCCTTCCTTCTTCTTTTCTTCTTCTTCTTCTTCTTCTTCTTCTTCTTCTTCTTCTATCAACCCATTTCTTTCTTTCTTTTTCTTTCATCCTTTCTTTTTTTTTTTTCTTTTAGTTACTTTCCATATATATATTCACTTGTACGGTCTGTTTCATCTTTCTTTCTTTCTTTCTTTCTTTCTTTCTTTCTTTCTTTCTTTCTTTCTTTCTTGTTTTGACTTTTCTCTCCAATTCCTCAATCTCTTGTTTCAGACACATTTTTATTGATTATTTCTCCCTTCCCTTCTTCTTCTTCTTCTTCTTCTTCTTCTTCTTCTTCTTCTTCTTCTTCTATCAACCTACTTTCTTTCTTTCTTTCATCCTTTCTTTTTTTTTTTTTTCTTTTCTTTTAGTTACTTTCCATATATATATTCACTTGTATGGTCTGTTTCATCTTTCTTTTCTTTCTTTCTTTTTCTTTCTTTCTTTTCTTTCTTGTTTTGACTTTTTCTCCAATTCCTCAATCTTTTGTTTCAGACACATTTTTATTGATTATTTCTCCCTTCCCTTCTTCTTCTTTTCTTCTTCTTCTTCTTCTTCTTCTTCTTCTATCAACCTATTTTCTTTCTTTCTTTCATTCTTTCTTTTTTTTTTTTTTTTTTCTTTTAGTTACTTTCCATATATATATTCACTTCAATTGGTCTGTTTCATCTTTCTTTCTTTTTTTTCTTTTCTTTTCTTTCTTTCTTTCTTTCTTTCTTGTTTTGACTTTTCTCTCCAATTCCTCAATCTCTTGTTTCAGACACATTTTTATTGATTATTTCTCCCTTCCCTTCTTCTTCTTCTTCTTCTTCTTCTTCTTCTTCTTCTTCTTCTTCTATCAACCTTCTTTCTTTCTTTCTTTCATCCTTTCTTTCTTTTTTCTTTTCTTTTTTTGTTACTTTCCATATATATATTCACTTGTACGGTCTGTTTCATCTTTCTTTCTTTCTTTCTTTCTTCTTTCTTTCTTTCTTTTTCTTTTCTTTTTTCTTTCTTTCTTTTTCTTTTTTTTCTTTTCTTTCTTTTCTTTTTTGTTTTCTCTCCAATTCCTCAATCTTTGTTTCAGACACATTTTTATTGATTATTTTCCTTCCTTCTTCTTCTTTTCTTCTTCTTCTTCTTCTTTCTTCTTCTTTTCTTTTCTTCTTCTTCTATCAACCTATTTTCTTTCTTTCATCCTTTCTTTTTTTTTTTTTCTTTTCTTTATATATATATATATATATATATATATATATATATATATATATTCAATTCTACGGACTGTTTGTTCTTTTCTTTCTTTCTTCTTTTTTTTTTTTTTTTTTTTTCTTTTTCTTTCTTTCTTTTTTTCTTTTTTCTTTTTTTTTTCTTCTTGTTTTGACTTTTCTCTACAATTCCTCAATTTCTTCTTTCAGACACATTTTTATAGAATATTTCTCCCTCCTCCTCTTTTTCTTCTTTTATTTAAGCTCTTCCTCTCAACAGATCGAATTCCACAGTTATTTTATTTTATTTTCTAATATTTATTCCCTCATTTTTCCTTTTCTTTTTCCTCTTTTCTTTTTTTTTTTTTTTTTCATAGTCTTTCATTTACTTTTTCTGCGACGCCTTCACAAATCGATCAGTTTCTTCTCTTCATTACCAACGCTTGGCCAGTTCATTTCAATCGGCTAGAATTTCTTTTCCCCGCCTTAAAAACAGCGTCCGTTTCTCCGGAAACAATTAACAGCAACACAGCGTCATGATAATAACATTGGTAATTGGGTGTCTTGAACAAGAAGCTTTAGAGAAATCTTTCTAAAATCTAAAATAGCAAACAGCATATTATGCAGAGTGAAGAATTTTTTTTCCATGCTGGACGTAGGTGAACATAGTTCTCACAAAATTACTTTTTCTTCATTATCTGGGAACTGGCCCGACTTTTTTTTCTGTTTTTTTTTTTCCTTTTGCAATTAGGTTCAACCTTTACAAGGCCCAGGGGCCACTCGTGGTAGAGAATTAGGTTAGGAGGAAATTTGTGCGGATACGTGTAGAAGAATACGGTTAACCCTAACCTTGGACATATTGTAGTGATCGTGGAAACATCCTGTTGGGTGTTGTTTCCACAGAGTAGTGGTTTGCGGGAAGAAGCTGTTCGAGAGGAACTTACTTCTCAACGAGGGAATACACAGTGAATCTGGGTGGTTTACTCCGATTTAAGTGTCATGGCGTGTCCTTGCCGTGGAGATTTGAATCGGCTGGAAAAGGGAATGTATTTCGTTCCAGCACCTTCCGTGGAAGCAGCGGTAGAGCAGCGAAAGGTTTGACACATCCCACCTGTAGAGACGCTTTTGGATTGTATGAAGGCCGGAAAGTGAGGTCTGGGCAGCTCCCACCCAAATAGGACATTTTCGGTCTGATCTGGATCTTGTAAAGGTAGTGGATTGCAGGAGGAATGAGGTATTTACTTGAGTGGTTCAGAGAACCGACGATTTTACCTGTATATTTCCAGTTGCCTTCTATAGAGTTTTGAATTTAGAAACGTTCATCCCCTAGACTGATATGCAACCAAGGATCGCACACAAGTTTAGAGATCATAACCTGTTATTTAGTATAGTTATTATATATATATATATATATATATATATATATATATATATATATATATATATATATATATATATATATATATATAATTATTTATTTAAAAATATTTCTAACTTGAATAAGAGGTCTCATGTTTCAAAACAAGAGCCGAAAACTTCAATATAATTATTTGATCCATCTTCAAGCAAATTTTTTTTTGCATTCCAAAAAAATTTCGCTTGAAGATGGAACAGAGCTTACTTTAACTCAATTTAATTCAAAGTTTTCGGCTCTTGTTTTGAAACATGAGACCTCTTATGTCGCGAGTTGGAAACATATTTTTAAATAAATAATTATATTTATGCTCTACTTTTTGTATCGAGCACTATTTTTTAAAAATAATAACTAAAATACTAAGGAACTTTGGATTATTTACCTAACCAGTTCCTTCCTATTTTCTATATATTTTCACACACACACACACACACACACACACACACACACACACACACATATATATATATATATACATATATATATATATATATATACGAACAACAGTTGGCTTACGGTCATATCAAGTTGAGACACTGGTTCTCCTAGGGTCACCGAAGATAAGCAACGTCGAGCCGAGTCATTACCTAGATGAGTGACCTTTTGGGAATACCAAGTGATGTAAGCTCGGGTGTGCGGGTGGTGTAATGGATAATAGCACAGAACTGTCAATGCCGAGTTCAAATTCGCGATTTGTTTGTTATATACATTTACGCGCAAGTAACCTTAGGAGAGACACGAATCCACATATTCTCCCCCATCTATGGGTTAATTACTATGATGTGTTTCACTAAACCATTATTTTCCCCACTTTCCAAACACACAAACAATTCTTACCATCTAAAAACATTTTCTGGTTTTAAATATCCTACAAAGTGTTCGTGGATAAGAAAATGAATGAATCAAATTTAATCGATAAAGAATGCTGCAGGTCGTTGGGTATTTGAAATCGGCCGTCGATTTCCATTTTCCAGGCCGATAGCCGTTACGCTACCCGCAGTCTAAAGACCATTTCTGAAAATGCACTACACCTAAAATTGACAGGATAGTTATTTAAAGAGAATTAAAATTGTCTGACTTACATGGAAGACATTGAATATGAAAAAAAAAAAAAAAATTAACAGAACTGACCACGAGTTTTGAATCCATTAATTATAGAAATCTGAGATTCTTCTCTTTTTTTTTGTTTTACTTAACATTGAATTATTTAAACTCTTCTTGTTTGAACTTCGTGTACAGACCCTACACAATCGCAAGCAAGAAACCTTACCAAATAAAAGACAACTGAGGACTTTCAACAGCGGAAACAAGCGAGATGTGCGATATAGGAAAACATTAGTATTGAACTTACGGTTACATCTAGCAATTTCACCTGTAAATTTATGGGACCTTTCCGCCAATCTAGTACTGCACTTGAATTCATAAAGGGTTACACATTTAATGAGATGGGTGAAGCAATTCTGATGATACCTAACTGCCAGTGTTGCCCTTGTGTGATATAAATGTATTGATTTCAATATACAAAGGCATTGAAAATAAGAAAGAAAATATTTTCTGTGGTCAGCATTTAAAGTAATCATTACTAACAGACTATTGATTAATTGATTCGTTTTCTACGGCTTATCAACCCTTTTCAGATTATTTACAGCCAGAAAATATTTTAGATTTTAAGATATCTTTTGGTTGGAGAGATAATAATGATTTAGTGGATACAAATCTTACTAATTAACCCATAGCTGGAGGGAAAAGTAGTCGTACTTAATCGGAATTTGATAAATAAGCAAGAAATTATAAAGCTGCTATAAAGTCGGGGATCAATTTTATATTACAATTACTATATAAACTGATTGCTTATTTTGTGGACACAGGAGTTTCCATACATTATTTACCAGAGAATGTAAATTGTTGAAACTTGACTAATGCATGGAATAATAATGCAACACGAAATGTACTTAGAACAAAATGTATTGAAACAAGAAAGTGTACACAATATTTACATATAGTCTTTTGTATAAACCTGGTAAGACCGTTCCTAGAGAATGTGTTGACTGAGTCGCAGTCGGGCAGAGTCTCTGGTTGAATCTCTTGATTCCTGTATTTATCTATCCACCCACGAGGATACAATGTGGCACAAGGCCGGTTTAAAGTGGGTATCTCCGAGCCCGTAGTATCAGCCAAAAATATGGCCTTTCTGAAACCGCCTAGACGGGTTCAAGGCCTGTCTACTAACCCGGACGAAACCCTGCCTCTCGGCAAAGCCTCGTCCGGGTCCCTCACTGCAAAATGCAGAGAGTTCGACTGAGAGTGAATCTCGTGATTCCTCCCTCTCTTCCCGGTACCAACCATATTTATATGGTCGGTACTCCACTATGCAAATTAGGTGGATCCTACCACGACATAAATAAATCTAAAAGACCGAGGATATTGGTTGATTGATTCGTTTTCTACGGCTTATCAACCCTTTGCAGGTTATTTAAAGCCAGAAAATCTTTTTAGAGTGTAAGATTTCTTTTTGTTGGAGAGATAATAATGATTTAGTGATACAAATATTACTAATTAATACATAGATGGTTTGAAGTGGTGTCTTCATACCTTTCGCATTGGTTTTTGCGCCTAAGGGAATATAAGAAATCCAATTGTAATTGGAATTCCGCGCATGAATTAAAAATTCCAAGACATTACACCACCTGCACATCCAAGCTTACAGCACCCGGCATTCACAAGCGGTCATCCATCAAGTTCGACGTTGTTTAACTTCGGTGACTGTACGGGAAACGGTGTTTCAATACAATGCGGATGTAAACCCTACCGATAGAATAGGGGTACCGTATATATAAAATAATGCTAATAATGTTACGATGTAAATGTTAGACATTTTCTTGACGGTCGTCTTCTAGTATAGAATCCAGAGGTTGGCAGTGAATATTTCGGAGATAGTAGGAAATCGTAGTGCAGGCTGGCAGTGGATATCGCAGCAAGGTAGCAGAGCGTAGTTCTTTCGTCTGTCCTGTTCGCCGGACAAGTTGCCTCTGGTCATTCCGGTAGGAAAACAAAGATGATCGCCTTTATACACGACGGATACAGTGTTGTGCGGCTTCTGATTGGTCAACCTTCTATTGGTAGACTATAAAGGGAAATAAGTCATTTTGACTCGCTCACTAGTTATATATACATATATACCCAAAAAACCGTAACAGTAAATACATTGAAAATTATTCCATTAGAGAAAATAGGAAGCAAGGGAACGGAAGGAAGGTCAACAGTTGGAGAGTGCGAAAAACGAAAAGTAGAAGTGGCGGGTACATTTAATTATTTGAACAGTAAATGGGTGGAACTTTGATAGCAATCTTGTAGCACGCTTAAATTCATGCAGTCGGAGTACCAGGGGGAAAAGCTCATCAGATGAGAAAGTAATTAGAGTCGAAATGCCTAGTCAGGGTCGATTAGTACTACTATTACAAAAATTATTTCACTGTTGCAAATTATTTTATTTGAATTTTAATTATGATATGAAATTAATTATTTTACATTTCGAAATGTCATAACCGTAATAAAATACATACATACACACACATATATATATATATATATATATATATATATATATATATATATATATATATACTCGACTCTCCCGTCAAATTCGACGTATGAAGGTCAAGTAGGTCAGTTCCTGATCTATCTATCTATCTATCTATCTATCTATATAGCTGGAAACTGACAGCCCGACACTAGCACATGAGATTTGATTATAGTGTTGAAGGTTTTGTGCAGAACCCTCCACACGTTTTGAAGGGCCGAATACAGAGACCTGGTGCACTACGTGCCACAGGGTCCCCAAACAACCCTCCGAGTTAAGAATTGTACTTCTCCTAGGCCAGTTGCCAACCTAGGCTTTAGAACCTAGTCTGTCTCGCTATTTAGCCATAGCTGGAGGGAGAAGAAGAGGATTCACACCTTTCCCAAGGGTATTAGCACATAAGTGAATGTAATGGATTTGACTTGAATTCGAATTCGGCTCTCGATTCCTTAATCCACTACTCCACCGTGCCTCTATATATATATATATATATATATATATATATATATATATATATATGTATGTATATGACTATATACTATCTACCAGGGCCGCTAGCGAATCCCTATTGAGGAAGCTTGCTCGGGAGCATCTGTGCTTATTCAATACCCACAGAGTCCACGTGTGGTCTATACTGCCACTATTCTGAGCAGACCTTAGTTACAGTTTCTTGGAAAGACCGTGTTATTTTGCGTGATCAAAATGTGAACAAGGCTAGCATACTCCAGACCTCGGCCACGATGACTTGTGTCTTCGTGCTAGCACAGCTATCGACGTCTTCCAAGGGTTCCGTCTACCCAATTTCACTCACAAAGCTTGGTTCAACCCGTGGTATTGTTTTCAGACATTTTCTAAAGGTGTCACACGCTGACAAAGTTGTCTCGTTCCTGACAAATCGACCATAATGAGATTCGAACCCGCGTCTCATGATATATATATATATATATATATATATATATATATATATATATATTATAAATTAATTGATTTAAAATATATTTTAAATCAATTAAATCAATTAATTTATAATATTAATGCTCTGTAAATTTACATTGAGCACTATTTTGTAAAAATAAAATATCTATAAGAACACCGGATTATATATGTTGCTGTTCCTTCTTTTTATATATATATATATATATATATATATATATATATATATATATAAAATTTTGTTACATATATATATATATATATATATATATATATATATATATATATATAAATATAAATCGTTCAGGTTAAAATCGTTTTTTGTCTGCCCCACTATATTTTCCCAACTGAGCAATGGCGGAGAAAAAGATTAGTCAGATCTTCAGTAATGGTACCAATATTCATACCCTGGATCCATCGTCAAAATCGATTAATGAACCATCAAGAGAACGGTGAATAAGTTTAAAAAAGTAGAGACTAAAACTGGATCAGGATGTCACAACAGCAAGAGGGGTCATCATTTAAATTTAGAGCTAAATACATTCTTACTGTTCAAAGTAGAATCCAGTAGTGTTATAAAATCTCAGAGAATTCCAGTATAATATCTTTAATCATTTCTAAGATATAATGGTTCAAATTTTGATCTAAAAATCAGACAATTTAGCTTTAACACGATTTGAATAATTTCGTTTTTACGTATATATATATATATATATATATATATATATATATATATATATATATATGTGTGTGTGTGTGTGTGTGTGTGTGTGTGTGTGTGTGTGTGTTTGTGCGTAGCTTTTCAGTTGTTAGGAATTATAAGATTTTCCAATATTTATAACTAAATTGTTTAGCCAATTCACATCTAGGAACTTGAAATAAAGACTGAATGCACTGAAATTAAAGCGAGGTTTACTGAGAGAATACCGCTATTATATTTAATTATAATTCATTTATTTTATGTTAGAATCAAATCTCTTTCCCCCCTTTGTAGGGGAAACCATCATTTGATCGGGCATGCTTTCCGCTCGGCCATGAAAAAAAAAAAAAAAAAACGCTTTAAAAAGAGAAGCTCTATGCTGGAGAACTCATTTTCTTTACTCGGATTTCTCG